CCCAGGTATTCAAAAGTTGGTCCCACGGTATGACAAATGTCTCAATTCCGGTGGCGAATATGTTGAAAAATAGCTGGACACTTGCTGTATCTGTTGCAATAAATATTTCCATGAAATTGTGTTTTGTTTCTGTAAACGGCCCCAGGGAAACTTACTTTTGGGACGCGCCTCGTATAAACAAAACCACTTTGAAGTAAGAATGAATAAATATTAGCGTCAATGTTATCACATAAACCTCATAAGTCATGATGCAGTAATTAACTACTAATAATCATCAAATCAAAACACGATTATATAGTTAACACATTTCTTAGGATAATAGAAAAAGGACCTAATAAAGCTTACATATGTTGTAAATAAATAGAAACACAAAAAACTTTCAGATGTGTAGAAAGCCAGCAGTGTTGTGTAGTAAAGAGTACAAGTTAATATGGCTGCCATGACGTCTTTCAGCATTACCTAATACAAAATGTCTTTAAAAATCTCTAACCTTTTTCTTTCTCCATCATATTCAATCTTGGCAGCAAGACCAAAATCTCCTATTTTCACATCCAAGTCATCATTGAGAAATAAATTCCCAAGTTTGAGATCACGATGGATAATCCTGTGTTGGTGAAGATAAATAACACCGAGTAGTATCTGTCTCACATAGTACCGGACTTCAGCCTCAGTCAAAGCTTTTCTGCGCTTGTGTAACTCCATCATTGACTGGAAATGAAAGGAAATAGAACAGACTGTTGAGAACAAATGTCTTACACCGCTAGCAGTCGATTGCACTCGTGGCTACCACCAAGATTTTTTTCAGGGGTGACAGAAAATATATTTAAAAACTAAAAGTTTAAGCTGTAATTTGTTAAACTTGTTTCTTTTCAAAACAGAATTTTTTTTTTAAAAAAAACTTAATTTTGATAATATTTGGAACATTTCCTTTGTTTCAATTTTAATTGTTTCCCACAAATCTGGGACAGTGTGAGAGATTCGAGGCATGACCCCACCTGCCAGTACCCATGACCAAATTAAAAATATTAGCAATAAGTTAAGAGAGCCTACAATTATCAAAACTGCCAATTACTCAAGAGAAATATAAGTTGTATTTCACACAATGTGGTTCAGTATATAGAACAAATAAATATATGTAGAATATTATACATACCAAGAACAATTTTTGCTCTTAGGTTTTTGCAGCTTGAGTTCTATGAATAACTTTGGCTTTCATGTGTGAGCTGCTTCCTGAACTAGCCCTACTACACACTCACCTTGAAGATGCAACTGCAATGAATGCCAAAAGGTTAGTTAATATTCAACATATGACACGACTCACATAAGAAAGCCAAACTTATACTAAGAACAAGCCTACATAGGCAAAATTACTATATGATAAATAAATTTAAACTACTCACCCTTCTCCTACAAAGTTCCAGTACAATATAAACATTTTGATTATCCTCAAAAAATCCGTGGAATCCCACCACATGTTTATGGTTTAAACTTCGATGAATAGCGATTTCTTGAGTTAATTTATCTTTCTGATTGTGCTTGGTCATCAGTTTTTTGGAGACAATTTTACCAGCATACACATTGCCAGTCTTTGTATCTGTTATCTCATAACACTTTGCAAAACCACCCTGGAAGGAAAAAAAGAAACATATTCAAGTTTAACGACATTAAAACAATATACAATAAACTATAGAAATACAATTTCAGTTACAATAAAATATACATCCAAGAGACAAAAGAGCATCCATACCTTTCCAAAGAATCTGCCTTTTCTGTATGTTACATTAGTTCCTACATCGTATATAAGCTCAGGAATACTCTGTTTATCATCGTCTCTCGCTGCCATGTCTTATAATAAAAGTGCAGAGTACAAATGGACGAAGGTGTTGACTTCTCTCAAGCAACTACCAAAACCGTTTTAAATCCATGTACGCTTTAAACGGCTTGGTAGGTTTAAATAGTCTTCACCAATCAGGATTCTTTCCCCAGAGATGGATTTCCATTGGTTATATGCTACGATGTAAATCAAATGACTAACAAACTGTAACCTAATTCCCAACACATTTATACCTATTAATCCTTTTACTTGTTATTTTAAGCAAGTACGATAATGTTTTAATTCATTAAGTACTCTAAATAAAACGATGTTCCATTACTTTCTTAATAAAATAAGCAGGAAATATAAAAGGTGGCATATATGAATCACACGTGTACGGATCTCGTATATATCATGGCATTTTCTGTGGTCTTTGAAAACTAACTGGTCTGGAACACGGGTGAAAGTGTCATGATAAAGGAAGTAGATATTGATTAATAAACAAATAGACCGTGTTATTAATTTTAATTTTTTGGGCTTCTTCAACCGTCATTATGCTTCCTGAAAAGAACAACGTTTTGGTAGAAGTAGTAGATTGCTCTTTCCCCGTCCTCAGATGAACCAACAACTGAGCGCGTGACTTTGACTTCTCGACCTGTGTAGTTTAGCTCTGTCTAACTGGCCAGACCACCCTCATTTAACCAAATAGGGTAAGTAGACAGTATACGTAGAGATATCTTGGCTTTTTTTACTATTCACAAGAGCTTTCGCAAGAAGTTAGCAGTAGAAAAGCCACGTGCCTGACTTCTTTTTCTAGTATATATCAATGATCTGCCCCCAACCGTCAACTCTCTTCCTAAACCTATGCTGTTTGCTGACGGTACTAATATTATTATTTCACATCCATAAATTGACTATTTTCAAAATTGCATAAATGATGTCATCGCTAGATTGAACAAATGGATTAAAGCCAATAAACTCGCATCAAATTTTGTGCTAAGAACAGAACTTGTGCAAATATAAATATAGGTTATGATGACAAAGTAATCTAGGAAATAGAAAAAAAAAACTAAATTTCTTGGCCAACAAATTAAAATGGAAAACACGTATTCAATATATTATCCCAAAACTAAACTCGGCATGTTTTGCTGTGAGGACAGTTGCGGTTCATATGAAAACAGAAACTTTAAAATGGTTTGTTTTGCTTACATCCATTCCATCATGTGTTATGGAATCTTATGGTCTGGGGCAGTGCATAAAAGAAGTACTCAGTTTGTAATTAATAACAGATTGTTGGTTTCATAGGCCAAACTTGCATTCACAAATACAGTTCTCATTTGAAATCATCAGGGTTCTATGTAACTACTTTTCCAACGTGAGGTCCATATTTATTAACACACCTTATGAAGACATCTTTAACAGTTGTTTGTACATGTAATAACTTAATTAAGTGCTGTTGAATGGTCCATTTATTAGCTTTGGTTTTAACAGATTCACTTTGCCAGTTCTTTTATGCTTTATTTAAATCATGTTTAGTGAACAATTTTCCATTCCTTTTCAGAGCTATGCCCTCTCTTATTGCCCACTATTTCTCCTCATGCTTGCAGTCTATAATCATATTCTTATGTTAGTAGCTAGAGCAGATACATTCTGTGCATTGTTCACCAAATTTTGTGTTAATGTAAGTGTAATTATCTTATTACTTGATAGTGTATGTACAGGTGGTATCATTTGAAATGCAATCTGACAACAATTATGTGTAAAGAAAAATCAGTGGCAGGTCCACCCTTGTGTAATAGATTCTTTGCTGTTGTTCATGAAGCATTTAGCAATGTGTATCCTGACAGGAAAGTACACAGTAAGACAACACTGCACCAACTAGTAACAACGTATCAGAACACAGAAAGTGTTTGTGTATGACAAGCGCTTATTGAGTTACAAAACAACTTAAATTTCAAGCATTACATTCCCAGAGTGTTTTACTGTGCTTAACTTTTGATGAAAATCTTGCTCTGTCTTGTGTGTCGCTACATGTGTAGGTTTGTAGGCACGGTCTTCTCGCTGTTTGCTCGCAGAAGAATTATATTAGTGAGCATGTCCTTAAATGCATTTATGAGGTCGGTTTACAGTCAGTGTGGTTACGTGTATTAGTGCTGAAGTTAGGAATTCGCCGATCTTTCCATATGTCCCTTTCTGCTCCAACACAAAACATTTTTAATGGTTGGCAATGGTTTCGTTTTACCAATTCGCTTTTACAGAAGACAATCAAGAACAATGTCAGCATCAGAGAAAAAATTGCTGGCTAAAGCATTGTTCCTGAGGTCAGAGGAAGTAGAAGGGTTGTTGGCAGTACGATCTTACAAAATGTGGTTTCTATCTACAGACTTCAAGTGAAGTATCCTGTTGTGGAATATGTAAGTGTTGTTTTCATATTATGTGCCATATTTCACTCTGACACCTGACCAAGTCAAGTTCCTTATGTTAATAAAAGCTTGAAATTTAACAAAATGCATGTTTGAAGGTAAAAATATATAATATATTTTTGTTTGAAAATTTTGTTATGTGTGAAACATCACAAACAGCACATTAGTACTGAAAGTAGACTAGATCAGAGGGCATCCGTTGTAAATTACTGATTGTTGCTTGAGAGCGTCAGTGACTTTTCAATTTGCTCGCGTTATCCCTGAAAATTATTTCGAGTGTGTTGCTTTGAACGATATAGTGAAATGCAACATGGTGTAACAATCCATTTAATTATGTAACTATTATAATCATATAAACCATTCTCATTATACATTTTTTAAAAATAATCCGTAAAAACTTGTTTTATTGTGGTCCATGGATGATGATGCTTTGTGCCGGCTGCTACAATTGCAGTCGAGGTCCCTACCCACCACAGATGTCTCAGCCTTAGGCTCACTGTCCAGCCCCCATATGTCACATGAGTGAATGTAGAGCAGCAGTGCAGTGATATTGGTAGGGGAAAACCCCCCAAAAGAATTCTAGTAGAGGGCCCATCCCAGTGCCACTTTGTCCATCACAAATGACATATTGAAGGCCTCTTGCTATCTGCTGGAGCTAGAGCGTGATCCAGCCTCCTGTGATTTTTGTCAAATGATCACTGCCTATCCATGACATATTAATTCTTTTGGAAATAAGTTTAAGATGGCCAGGTATATCTGCGATGTGTTAATAGATGTAACGTATTATTCTAGCATTTATAATGTTGTATAATTATCTGTATTTCTGTATATTATTCTGACAGTTAAGTGATGACACACCTGTTTTGTATTGTTTTTTAAAAGAACCTGCAAATGGCAGAAATAGCCAAAGTACGTAGCTCGTTTATTAAATAATTAGTTAATCTTCTTGTGTATGTTTCAAGGCTGGATAATAAAATATCATTTATTGTGTGAGACAGAAATGAAAAGCACCAAATGTTCGTTTTATAATTTTTTAATACACGTACTTGGCATACACAACTTCTAAGAAATTAATACAGCCAAAATATTATCATTTACTGAGCTTTGGTGCTGCTTCGTGGTCTCTCCATTTACAAAGGTCACATACATTTATAAATTCTTTAAGATATCCTACTCAAGTACGCAAACAGATGTTGTACAAGTTATTCATCTAAATGTTTCTGTTGCTCTGTGTCAACATTTTTAAATTCATTGTGCACTGTGTGTTGTTAAAGGCTATGTATGCCCCTAAATTAATTTTAAAAATTTAATTTCTCACTTTTTTCTGTCAGCCATATGAGAATTTATGGTCATTAAACTTCGCGAAAGTCTTTTAAACGATTGTTCATTACTTTAAGTATCATTAATAACGTCTTTTAAACGATTGTTCATTACTTTATGTGGCATTAATAAACTTTGTAATTTAAATAGGTAATAATTTACATATTTTTTTTCTGAGTAGGCCTACATGTAAATAATTCCATGGAATGGACTCCTTATTGAGAAATTGATAGTTGCTCAACTAGTCAAATATGACTTGCTTTCATGGAACCTGAAGTGAAGATGACTGTCTTCTGGGAGTCAACGCACTGATGATGGAGGCAGCAAGCACCTCTGAAACGTTGGTACACTTCTACCAGACTACACAGCACTACAACCCAGAAGACAGCTATCTTCTCAACCTGAAGGTTATTTATTTTGTTCACAAGTTGGCTACTGTACCCTATCCCGAGCTCGATGAATCCAGTCTAACCCTCAGCCCAAAAGAAAGGCGGGGAATGGGTAGTGATGACTTAACGAATCTTTTAATGCTCAAATGTTTGTTGGACTTTTCACAAGATGCAGAGGAATATTTCTTGTGATTTTAGCCTATAAAACTGTGCTAAGCCAATGAATAGGCATATAGAACATTATATGATATAAATAAATTAAAATTTCTAACAGCTTTGGCTGTATTATACAGATTTGAGGTTTTCATGGCAGTGAGTCTGAAGATTGCTGTCATCTGGGTTGTTGCGCTGTGTAGTCTGGTCGATGTTAACCAACGTTTCAGAGGTCATACTGCCTCCGTCATCAGGGCGATGAATAAGCCATGCAAGTGGAAAGCGCTAGAGTTTTAGGGACTCAACAGTAAAAGGAGTTGCCTAATCCTAACCAGTGGGGGTGGAAACCAGTAGGAGTACGTGGGCATGTCATAGTGTGTGTGAGAGGGATGGAGAGAAGGAAAGGAAGAGAGAAAGGTCTGAGAAACAACCCTATTGAGGGTCTTAGGTAGTCGGTCAGGTGGGACATATGGGAGTGGGGTGATTAAGATGCGGGGGGAAGCAGGAGAGTGGAAGGGAGCACTGGCCGGGGCCAGAAAAGGGCAGAGTAATGGTTAGTGGCCCGGGTGGGACAAGCAATGCCCTCTGGGATGCTTCCGGAGCCCTCAGAGAGAGTGAATGAGGGGCTTCCGTGACCAGCTCAGGCAAAGTCTGTCCTCCCTGTTGAAGTTGTTGGGATGTAATTCAATTTCAATGGCCTCCCTGATCATCCGATCCACGTATCCGGATTTTGTCGACAGGATAGGGGTGTCCTGGAGGTGAGTGTGGTGGCCCAGGTTGAAGGAGTGCTCGGCTACGGCGGATTTTTCAGGTTGCTCCATCCAGATGTGGCCCCGGTGCTCCTTGACCCCTTCCGGTCCCTATAGCTCTAGCGGGTTCCGCTCACATGGCTTATTCATCGCCCTGATGGTGGAGACAGCATGGACCTCTGAAACGTTGGTGGACATCTATCAGACTACATGGCGCAACAACCCAGAAGACAGCAATCTTCAGACTTATAGGAAGTCACTGATGACATCTGAGTACTTGCTATGAAATTTTTACTCCATGAGGTAATTCTCTAAATTAGAAAAGAGTTTTGTAGCTCAGAAAGAGAGATTTTCCATACACGTGTCATGTAAATAAATGTTTGTCATTGCGCTGTTCTTACATTTGTGCAAGACCTTTAATTTGTACTCTATTTATAATATTGCCACTATAAATTTTAATTGAGTATGGCTTGCCTCTAATTAACCGTGATGACCATTATTTTGGAAATAACTGCTGTTTATCCCCATAAACCTCTCACGAATATTTAGTCTCATTGCATGCACCATATCGCAGTTTTAGTGATCAAATATTAACTGAGGTCTAAGTACATCTGTAACATTCTTAATTACTGTAATACAGATTCCTTGACTTCCAGCACATGTTTTAAAGGTAGTAGAAGTGCCAGAAATAGACCAAAACCTGTTGCTATGCACTACCTACTAAACAGAGAGACAAAGCGCTTCTTTTTATACCTCACACGTGTTCATCCAGTTCACTGGTCATGTAAATGAGAAGCTCAAGCTGCAATGTTCGTCATCGAAATCAGACTTCTCTAGCAGTTGTGGCATCTTCAGTCGCTTTTTCGACACGTCGTCCCAGTTTATGTCCTGTAGGATGAAGAACACGTTAGGTTAAGATTTGAGGTTTTCACAGCGATGAGTATGAAGATTTCCGTCTTCTGGGTTGTTGCGCTGTGTAGTCTGGTAGATGTTAACCAACGTTTCAGGGGTCATACTGCCTCCGTCATCAGAGTATGAAGGTTTCTGTCTTCTGGGTTGTTGCGCTGTGTAGTCTGGTCGATGTTTACCAACGTTTCGGAGGTCATACTGCCTCCGTCATCAGGGCGATGAAGATTTCTGTCTTCTGGGTCGTTGCGCTGTGTAGTCTGGTCGATATTAACCAACGTTTCAGAGGTCATACTGCCTCCATCATCAGGGCGATGAGTATGAAGATTTCTGTCTTCTAGGTTGTTGCGCTGTGTAGTCTGGTCGATGTTTACCAACGTTTCGGAGGTCATACTGCCTCCGTCATTAGGGCGATGAAGATTTCTGTCTTCTGGGTCATTGCGCTGTGTAGTCTGGTCGATATTAACCAACGTTTCAGGGGTCATACTGCCTCCGTCATCAGGGCGATGGTACACAGAATGTTGATTGCAGAGTAAAAGCATGGCACAGTTCAAGTGAGGAGACTTCATTTTGCAGAAAGTACAGGGATTTTAAATGCAGTTTTCTTGCATACAATTTTGGGGTCTGTGCCCTAATTTATTTAACAACGCTGTATTTACTGGTAGGGATGTTTGAGGAAATGTGATTATGCATTCAAGGTTTGAAGTAAGTTATTGGCATTTTTTTTATGGCATGTACTGAGAGGGCCCTTTTGAAATTCTGATCTGACGGTACTGCTGGCAAGAGCCGAGTAAATGCCTCTGACGCGCTGCGTTACTAGAGAATTCAAAGCATTGTTTTTCTTCTGATTTGATGTAAATTTTATTAATAATAATGAAGAAAATAAATGAATAATGGTAGTAGGAAAGCAAGAAACGTACGAGAAATGTCTTTTAACTGAAGACCAATTTTCTCCACTCTGGAATAGGGGTTATGCAGGCTGCCTACCTCACAGGTACCTACGTAACTTTTTCATACAATTGTCTTTCTAAACCTTTTGCTGTGGTCGTGACATTTGATACATAAATGTTGTTCTGCTGGGGATGTAAATCCCTCTTTATACTTACTGGAATTATAAAGGAATCAGATAATCTAGAAACAGTGTCAAAAAGCTCAATCTGTGCGGATGTTCCGAACGTGTTTGATCTTCTTAGTAACTTAAGTTCATTACTGTAAATGCATATAAGGCGTATCATTAACACATGACATAGTTACTCACAGTGAAATACAGGTGCGTCTTGATGTTCTCCACGCCACCTTTCCCCGCGCCCATCCTTGTATTTGGATCCTTCTCCAAAAGTCTCCCGACAAAATCTGCTTCTGTGACCGAGAACCACGATGGGATGTGTGGTGTCTGATGCAAAATTTCACTGTAAAAGAAAAGCCCATTTTTATATCTGCCACTGAACACGTGCTTGTTAAACGTGCATTCACAATTGGCGTTTATAATGCCTCACAAATTTGCTATAAGTGGCCTGGTAAATGTGTAATTCGTATGGAGATCTGCAAGGTAGATCGTACGAGAGACAGGAAAGATGGTCCGCGTTAAACATTTTACATTTGCCAGCTTTTGGAAGCCCCTCCTTCTCTGTTCCTCACATTCATTTTCTGTCGTATCTAATGCGTAAACCTACTTTACTTCCGTTAAAATGGACAAGTCACATGTTAGCCATGAATGAATTGGCTTACAGCTGTTTTCACAGGAAAACGAGCTTCTCGTGGTACACACGTGCCACATCTTTTTACAAACACTAAATACTTACTTATCGAGAACTTTGTCGTTACTCTCTCTGTTATACTTGAAGGGTCTGTGCCCCGTTGACATTTCGTACATGATTATGCCGACACTCCACCAGTCCACTTCCTGCAACAATTAAAATTAGGGGTAATAGCTGAAATCAGTCATTTTAATTTTTTCCACGCACTTACACATTTTTACACAAGGATCTCCACATATAGAAAAATTTGTCTCCAGGTTAATATGAAAAAATTTGTAAGTATGATGATGTTCTTTCTTAATTTATCAATTTCATGTAGGTATCGGTTTGATTGTGCTGAATTTTCTAATGGTTTTCGTATGAGCGCTCATTCCAAACCTTAAGAATCGCTTTATTAACCGTTGTTTATGATTCACATGTCGTTATAGACTCCACGGAGTTACTGCTAATGGCTTCAAACCCTCGGATTATTATTATGTGTTCTCGTGTTAGTTTACATTGTTCATGTATTTGGTTCAGTTACATAAAATCAAGAGATTGGTACCGTCGTGCTGGTAAGGTAGAAGATACTTACAAAGCTGTAGCCTTCGCCGATGATCATCTCTGGCGCCATATACTCCCTCGTGCCACACTGCGAATATGCACGATCTCCCTGTTGACGGAAAAGAAACATTGAGTAACTGTGACAGGAGTTTGCGATACAAAGCAACTAGAAATTTTCTGGTAACAGAAAAAAAACTGATCGTCTCTAAAAGTGAAGACCACCATTTGAGACAGTCCTGAGCAAGTTCCGTTCACAACCTGCCCTCAGAACCCGCAGTGGCCAAGCGGTCTGAGACATGGTCCTCGTGTGCCTGGCCACTGTGACCGTGGGTTCGAGTCCCTCTCGTCTTCCAGTCTGTTGGATAAGGACTGTCCACGGAAGGCAAGGCGAAACCACCGTGGTACTTTCGCAAGAAAACCCCGATGGGGTCACAACTGTCAAACTGATCATAGACGATGAATGAATGAATATGGCTTCTGAATAGATCAATACAAACTAATTACGAAACTCCAACAGATCTATAGGTATTACGGTAATATACTTCTGAGTTCGCCTCCCCTAATTCAGACCCTGTGACGTCTCTTAGTTACAATGTATTTTAACAAAGTGTGAAAACGTGTGGTCCAATTTGTCACCTGAAACCTCTCGATTCTTTAAGGGTCTTCGACCCTGACTTGCCTCAAATAAGGAGTGCTACCGGATGGACAGCGACCCACAGAGATCTCATTTCTGGTCTATGCGTCATTTTATGTAAAGTCAACAAAAGATAATTATATTTACCTCTTTATAGCAGATGAATTGTTTGCACAACCCATAATCTGCGACGGCAATATGACCTTGAGCATCTACCAATATGTTTTCTAGTTTGAGGTCCCGGTGTATGACCTTAAGCTGAAAGAAAGAAATTAACAAATGAATTCCTTGCCCAGTGGGGATTAGAGATGGGACACCTTGCATTCTCATTGTGGTAGTGAGACGAGGTTTGAGTATTTTGCTTTTCAGAAAGGGAGAAATTAGAATTTAGAGCTTAT